GCGTTGTTGTTTGTCAACTGAAATCAGAGGCAATCAGACCTCAAAGCAGGAAATCATGGATTGTAATGCCGGAAATTACGTGTGAGTCTGAGAATCGCAATCAGAAATCTCCGGAAATCGTTGGAAATCACTAAAATATTGTCATAATTTTACAGCCAAACGTCACTTGTTCTCGAATCGCGTTGTCGTTTATGATCTGAAATCAAAGGCAATCAGACCTCAAAGAAGGAAGTCATGGATCGTAACGCTGGAAATTACTCGTAAATCTGAGAATTGTAAGCAGAAATCTCTGGAAATCTTTGGAAATCATAAAAATATTGTCATCATTTCATAGCCAATCGTCACTTGTTCCCAAATCGCGTTGTTGTTTGTCAACTGAAATCAGAGGCAATCGGACCTCAAAGCAGGAAATCATGGATTGTAATGCCGGAAATTACGTGTAAGTCTGAGAATCGCAATCAGAAATCTCTGGAAATCGTTGGAAATCACCAAAATATTGTTTTCATAATTTTACAGCCAAACGTCACTTGTTCCCAAATCGCATTGTTGTTTATGATCTGAAATCAAAGAGAATCAGACCTCAAAGCAGGAAGTCACGGATTGTAATGCCGGAAATTACGTGTGAGCCTGAGAATCGCAAACAGAAACCGCGGGAAGTCATTTTAAATCACCGAAACATGGTCATAATTTTACAGCCAAACGTCACTTGTTCCCAAATCGCGTTGTTGTTTGTCAACTGAAATCAAAGGCAATCAGACCTCAAAGAAGGAAGTCATGGATCGTAACGCTGGAAATTACGTGTAAATCTGAGAATTGTAAGTAGAAATCTGTAGAAATCGTTTGAAATCCCCAAAATATTGTCATAATTTTACAGCCAAACGTCACTCGTTCCCGAATCTCATCCACGTTTGTGATCAGAAACCAAAGGCAATCGGTCCATAAAGAAGGAAATGATTATTACTGATTTCACAGGGAATATCCGCGGGGTCTGGCGCATTTTTTGATCATTCGTCATCCGGGGCGCGATTCTCGTCTCTCGTATTCCGACGTTTCCGAAGCCTCGCACTCCTGCGAAAGAAAGACGAAAGGGAGCGAGTTTGGAGAAAAAGAGGAAGCGAATAGCGAAAAGAGGAGAAAAAGAGGGGACGGCGTTGCCTCTCGTCCGTCCATTCCGCGAAGTAAGAGCGAAAGCAAGGACCGACGAGGGCTCGACGAAGAGGGGAACAGGGCGAGTCAGTCGGAGCGACGGAGAGCGGACGAAGGGGCGAGGAAGACGCGGGACCCTGAAGAAAGGGAAAGAGAGAGCGAAAGAGCGGCACAAGAGAGACAAGGACACGCGGTATTGCGAGCGGCGGCATCGACTGCCCTTTTTAAGCCGTGAAGGAGAGATTCGGTTCGCTTGGCGGCTCTGCCAACCCACCTCTGAACGGACCTATACCATAATGTAATGATCCCCCTGCAGTGGTTCTCACAAGGAAAGTCTTCCAGGTGTACCTCACCGATTTCGTTAGTTCCGAGATATGAAGTCATTCCCGGTACGTTGAAAAATAAAAAAACGCCTATTTTTCTTTTCTTTACATACTAATTTACGAATTTAAGGTGAAGTGAAACACGTCGAGGAACTTAATCGACGTCGATAAAAAAGATTTTTCTAAATGCCTACGTTGCCGACGTTCGTTTTTATATTGACAGCTGGGTCGAATTATATTAGATATTGTACCAAATGGCATACTCCCCCTGTCGGTTTCGTACAATTAATATAAATAAATCGAAGTAAAACTCCAGAAATCCTCTGGATTCATGCCTTCTGGGGCCCTAATTGACTACGGAGGGACCCCCTGCGCCTTCTGTGATTTCCAGGTTAATTAATTTTTCACTCCGAGATCTCGTATTCCCATCGTTTTAGCATAGAAGCGCATACAACACTTTTTTCGCCTTTATCCCGTTCAAATGCGAGTTTATCGATTACCAGAGTGTTCTAAATTGTCGTCAAATTGTCCTGACCCTTTCGATTCTAATATCGGAGCCTTCGATAATTGTATATTGATCAAAATATGAAAGCTCGACGCCATTTTGGTTCTGGTCTGGACCGGTATTTCATTATGGAAGCAAAACGTGTGATTTTGATTTCCAATATATTTAAAACGTTGATAATGCAATCGGCAGATTGTATTTAAAAAATACTTAAATTAAAATGAAACGAAAGGTTTTGTATATCTATAAGAAGAATATGGCAAAAAGACATGGAGCTATTGTTATACAAATATAAAAATAATATTCTAGAGTAAATGTTTGTAAATATTTCAAACATCTGATAAACATTTACAAAATGTACGATATTCATTAAATATATAGAAAATATAGGGTGAATATTTTCTGCTACTAGGGTACATTGACAGAAACTTACAGATTTTTAATTGTTGGAATTTTTTAGTTAGTCAAAACTAATTTTTTTAGTTTAGTCAAGACGCAAGTTTCATCAAACATATAATTTATCAGTTATGTGAATGATAATCAAATCCGTTGGCCATTTCCATATACGATCACAGTAACCAGGACACGCAATATTCCTGGTATGCATTAAAGACGGTGCGGAAACGTGGCTTCCGTTGCGTTACCGGACGACAGGTGCGCATTTGGCGGCAAAGATGAAAGAGACCCGAAGAGCCTGCTAATAATAAACAGTTTGATATTACCTTTGCTTCGCATTCGATTGCCCGTAACGATACGGTCTTTCAGGGTTTTAATGATTTCTTATGATTTCATAATCGAGGTAACCCGATGAACTGAATAGCATACTACCTGTAAATGCTTATATCCGTGTTTTAGAATTCCAAGTTGCTGGGAGGAAGTAATTCAACTGAATATCTGAAACTTCGGTAAATAAGAATAATTCCAAACAGAAATATTTAATGTACGTTGCAAAAAACAATACATCGTAATTGTTACGAAATGGACTTTTTTCACTTGTATTCAGAATAAGGAACATGGAGAGGAGCTGCACAGGTTCTCTTATGGGAACTAGAGTTCTAAATCCAGTAAGTTACGTCAGAAACGAAGAGAAATTCCCGGTAATTTATCGGTAATTTCTCCAAGGCCTTTTTTATCGAGAAATTATGAGAATTTGAATTTTTCAACAGAGCGAAAGAGAGGTTTCGATTAGCTATAGAGAAACATCGTAGAGGGGAATTTCCGTTGTACGTTCTCTGTAACCGATCAAAACCTCCCATTCGCTTCGTCGCAGAATGAAATATCAGTTCGTTTGAAACAAATGGCATGGAATTTTCTGTGAAGTTGTACATACGTGAATATTTTTAGCTGGTAAATACGACCCTATAATCAATATTTTCTAATAATAATTATTACTCTTTAGCTTGAACTTTGAAGTTGATTGAAAAAAAAAGTTATTTAAACGAAGAAACATAAAGTATAAATAACAAAATTAACGTTCTCTTAAATTCTCAATGTACCCGGTAACTTACGGTATGTTTCACAGTTACCTTCTCCAATTTAATGTTACCGAGAATTTTCGAACTCTAATGGGAACGCGTGTCCGCTAAAAGGATACCAGGGGGTCGACACTCCTTATGGGAGAGGTGTAACGCTGAAGTTAGTTCACCTACTCCAAGCAAAGACTGCTCTGGTGTCGTGACTTTTCAGTCTAATAGAAAGAGAAGAACAGAGAATAAATGTTCATTGTCATAATTTTACAGCAAAACGTCACTTATTCCCGAATCGCGTTGTTGTTTGTCAACTGAAATCAAAGGCAATCAGACCTCAAAGAAGGAAGTCATGGATATATGAGAAATGAAAAGGTCAGGACAATTTTACGACAATTGAGAACACTCTGGTAATCTATAAACTCGCATTTGAACGGGATAAAGGCAAAAAAAGTGTTGNTAATATTTTTATCTTAATAAATATGTGACTTTTTAACTAATGTTAAATGTAATTATTTCAGTTCTTACAGTGATTTAAAACAGGCGTTGCACCACTGACACTTTTGTTGCTTCTTTTATGTTTAATATACTGTTTTCTTACATTTGTGTGTGTCAGTTTAAGCATCGCCTGTTTTAATCATTGCAAGTACTTTTTAAATCCCGAAAATATCCTTTCGTTTAATAAATGAATTTGAATAGCCCGCCAAATAATTTAGTTCGCGAAGAAGGTTTACTCCAATCGAAGATGGCGGTAGTGCATAAAGCGTTACACCCCAATACATGGCAGTGCCGACCCCCTGAGCAGAGTTCGAAAATTCTCAGTAACATTAAATTGGAGAAGGTAACTGTGAAACATACCGTAAGTTACCGGGAACATTGAGAATTTAAGAGAACGTTAATTTTGTTATTTATACTTTAGGTTTCTTCGTTTAAATAACTTTTTTTTTTCAATCAACTTCAAAGTTCAAGCTAAAGAGTAATAATTACTATTAGAAAATATTGATTATAGGGTTGTATTTACCTGCAGCTAAAAATATTCACGTATATACAACTTCACGGAAAATTCCATGCGATTTGTTTCAAACGAACTGATATTTCATTCTGCGACGAAGCGAATGGGAGGTTTTGATTGGCTACAGAGAACGTACAACGGAAATTCCCCTCTACCATGTTTCTCTATAGCTAATCGAAACCTCTCGTCGCTCCGTTGAAAAATTCAAATTCTCATAATTTCTCGATAAAAAAGGCTTTGGAGAAATTACCGATAAGTTACCGGGAATTTCTCTTCGTTTCTGACGTAACTTACTGGATTTAGAACTCTAAGCCGAACACGCTGACGAGCGTTCCAGTTTACTATATAATTCAATAAAACCAGCGTAAGATAGCCCGTGTAAATGTAGTCAACGTACATGTGGCGCCACAACGTTAATCAATGTGAAATATGTTCATTGTCGTAACCTAAAATGGATTTTAGCGGCCTAAAGTTACGAATTTAACCTTTCTAGGGCGTTTTTGAACATACCGGAGTACACTAGGGGTGGAATTGGGAGTATTCTTGATTCATCTTGATTGCAAAAGCTGTTGAACGTCAATGTCCCAGTCTACGTCAAGTTTGCGTAAGCCAATGTCGAAGTTGTTCGAAAAAAAGAAATGTATCTTTACACTTTACCCCGTGATTAATACGTCGTTACGTTCCGTATCAGATAAATCGTCGTAGGGCTTGCACGGTACTTACGATATTCGTAATAACCTCTAAGTCTGGCCAACCATTCTCGAAGTGCACTGGATATAAGGCAACAAGAATAATATTAAGCGTTACAGGTGTTTAAAATTCAGCGTAAACGCGAATTGGCTGCAAGAAATCCTTTCAAGATGAAGAAGAAGGTACGATTATGATACGAGGAACCATTTTATGGAACTCAGTTCTTTGTTCGTCAGATGGGGCTTGGTTACTTCATTATGAACTTTGGTTACAGGTTTTGCTAATGGGCAAGAGTGGCTCCGGGAAAACGAGTATGCGCAGCATCATATTTGCTAACTACATTGCTCGTGACACTCGGCGTTTAGGAGCTACAAGTAAGCGGCATACTTTTTGTTTTTATCTTTATTAGTTTGGCGCAGCACAACGCACGGTGCTTGAATAATCTTTTTCGTTTGTCAGTTGACGTTGAACACAGCCATGTACGTTTCCTCGGTAATTTGGTGCTCAATCTTTGGGACTGCGGTGGACAGGAGGCCTTTATGGAGAACTACTTTGCATCGCAGCGTGATAACATTTTTAGAAACTGCGAGGTGCTCATTTATGTCTTCGACGTCGAGTCGAGAGAACTGGACAAGGACATGCATTACTATCAAAGCTGCCTTGAAGCAATTTTGCAAAATAGCCCCGATGCTAAAATCTTTTGCCTTGTCCACAAAATGGATTTGGTACAAGAGGACCAGAGAGATTTGATATTCAGAGAGAGAGAAGAAGATCTTAAAAGACTGAGTCGGCCATTGGAATGCACTTGCTTTAGAACTAGCATATGGGATGAAACTTTATACAGGTACTTATATGCAAGTGCTGTTAAATAAAAATAATAAACTTTTGAATAAGAAAGAGGAAATATTCTAGTAAAGTAACAGAGTTTCCATTATCCATTTTACTATTTATATATTTCAGAGCATGGTCATCAATCGTGTACATGTTGATTCCAAATGTAAAAGAGCTTGAACAAAGTTTGAATCAGTTTGCAAATATCATTGATGCGGATGAAGTTTTGTTATTTGAACGTGCCACTTTTCTGGTAATTAGCCACTGTCAGAGGCGATTCCATAGAGATGTGCATCGCTTCGAGAAGGTTTCAAATATAATTAAACAGTTCAAGCTAAGTTGTAGGTAAGTGCTACGCTCGTTGCAGCCACGTTAACTATTTATCTCATAAATTTTGTTAATAATATCCATTAAGGTGATGCGGAAGGAACATCTAAGGGATCAATTTATGAAGCTTCTTAAAATTAGGAGTACCAAATCGAACTTGCTCACATGAACTTGGATGTCCTAAGGAAGATCATGATACGTATGAAATTTCATTTCTTAAATTTGTTTATAACATTTTTTAAATTATAAATAATGAAATTTCAAGGTTGTCATACCTTCTTTATGGCCTCCCTAGTTAAGTGGTAAATTTTCAAGTTATTTAGTATACCCAATTCGTAGCAAAATTTCATAACCGAGACTCCTTAGTTGCAACTTTTATGTCACCTTAAAAGCACTACTGTTTTGAAAAGCTTACACTTTAAGAATAATATACATCTTTTTTTATATCAGCAAACTAGCGGCTCAGTTCCAAAGTATGGAGGTCCGAAATACAAATTTTGCAGCTTTCATCGATGTCTTTACGTCAAACACTTATGTCATGGTCGTCATGTCGGATCCTGCGATTCGTAAGTAGTGTTTATGCTATTATTGACCTCGGAAGCAGATATTTTGAATCATACAGAAATAGAAAAATTAACCTAACTTGTCTGAAAGCTACATTATGTCCAGGACTACATTTACGCATGTTAATCTCACACTGGCTTTCTAACTACTGGAATTAAGTGTTGTATGAAGGCCATTTCACGTCGTTGTTACTGGAGACCTTAACAAAGGTCCTGACACACATGAAACTTCAATTTATTTATTTTTTTTTTGAGATTTTAAGATGATATGAAAGGTGCTGAGAAATTTAATCGACGTTGATAAAATAAGTCATCTATATCCTTTTTGGTGGTAATGCCGTTTTGAATACTCAACTGATAACATAATCTGGCGTGACCCATTACGAACATTTATATTTATGTTAGTCTTTTACCGTCTACGTTGAGAATTATGCGTACTGAAGTGTTCCATATGTCATTTTAGTAAAGGAATGATAAAAAGAAATGAATGTAAAACTGTCGAAGTTCCGTAAATTCATCACTGTTTATATTTTGACGGACCAACATCGCCACCTGTGACGTTTAGCTGCAATTAAATTTTTGCTCTAAAAAACACGTATTAGCCACGAGCGAAGCCAGCATTGGTGTCCCATTACCAACATTTATATTTATGTTGAAGTCTTTTACAGTCTACGTTGAGAATTATACGTACTGAAGTGTTCCATATGTCATTTTAGTAACGGAATGATAAAAAGAAATGAATGTAAAACTGTCGAAGTTCCGTAAATTCATCACTGTTTATATTTTGACGGACCAACGTCGCCACCTGTGACGTTTAGCTGCAATTAAATTTTTGCTCTAAAAAACACGTATTAGCCACGAGCCAAGCCAGCCTTGGTGTTCTTCAGCTCTTGCAATCGTTGGTGAAAGTATTTTCCACATTTTTCTATCTAACTACGTAATATTGCATTTCTACGGTACCCTAAATTGTTCAAGCTAGGTCCTGAAACTCTTCATTTTGGATTCTAAGCTTCCAAGAAGCGTAAAACATCGAAAACGTGCAAGGACCACGCCATGTTGGGTCTAATGCATGGCATAAAAATGTTATAAAAAATGACATTTCATGAGTTCTTGGACCTACCTTAGGGCCTTCATAGTAACATGGTAAAATTTGAAACGAATCGGTACACTCAGTTGGGAGAATATTTTCATGAACTGCTCGTATATTTCAGAGTTTTGGGCGCGCGTGTGTGTGTGTGTGTGTGAACTCTTTCATATTACCTTACACCAGTACTTATAACTGTTATGAAACCGGCATAATGTGGACCGTATACATGTATACGAATAGAAACGATAAGCTTTGCGTTACTGTAATTCTGACACAAAGGATATAATTTCAGCATCGGCAGCCACTCTGATCAACATCCGTAACGCCCGGAAACACTTTGAGAAACTGGAACGAGCCAGTCAGAGCTCGGCGTTGAGCAGATAGAAGTCAGCACGACCCAGGCGCGTCGTCACCCGGGTCCAATCTGCCAACCGTTGCTAGATGTGCAAGAACGCCGGTCTACAAAAGGAGTGTCGAACACCCCGATCGTGGGGTCGGACCAATTGGTCGTAACCGTTAACCTTCGCATACACGACGAGGAAGAGACTAGATCTTCTCGGAGGCGCGTGCCTCGCGTCCCCGGAAGTACGTAGTCCTAAGTACGAGCATCCGTGACAATTGTGCTGCCAACTCGGACGGCTGCGGAAAGCGTTTGAGTGTCCCGATTCTGGGACTGCATCGGAGACGGTTCCGGGAAGGAGGTATGTCAGGTGCACAAAAAGCGGATTCCCCTGTCCAAAGATCTCAAGGAAGGAGACGACGGTCCGAAGCGTCCGATCTAGATTCGCTCTTGGAGACTGAGCGATACTCGAGATTCCGGTGGTTGCACTCCTGCACGTTGATCTCAAGTACGACCATGTTTTATGAACGCACGTTGGCTTAATTTACACCGTGGCAAAGAATTCAGAAGTCCCATAGAAGCCCAGATCTTATGTTAGCGTTTGATGCTCTAAAAGTTGGCTAACAAACCAGAAGTGGGGGTAAAAAAGAGATCGCACGTGTTAGCCAACGATATCTCACGTACGGGAGGAAGAGAGACGCATATAGAAAGGCGAGTATTGGGTGTAAGATAAAGAAAGAATGCAATCGCTATATATCGCCATAAGGTTAAGAGAGATGGAGAGATGATTACAGTGCCGCCATCCGTTGGCTAACATACTATTTATCGAGCATCGAACGTCCGTATCCTTCTGGGCTTCTATGGAGACTTCTGAATTCTTTGACCGTGGTCAATGAATTCAAAGGGTCCATATATAAGTCCAGATCACTGATCTATATACTTCCTGGATAGCTGATACCTACTTGTTCTATACGGAAAGCAGTTCGACGAATTCAAGGCACCCCAGCGCCACTACACATGGGTAGTGATACTAAATAGGTATCGTGGATTCATGGGCAAAAGCTTTGAACCGTCAATCCGTCGATCGCAGCAATAAGAAATGTTGAACGCGTTGTCAGTTCGCGAAGGTAAACGTTTAAAGTATGAATGGCAAAAGACACAATTTACGAGGAAAAATGATGCGTTGGGCATATCGTAAGAAAGCTTCGACTAAAACAAAACGGTTATGACGCGTTGTTTTGACGCATGCGCAAATATTACGATATTAGTTGACATGTCCATAACCAGAGGCCTCTGTCGTCGCTTCAAAACGTCGCGCCAGTTTGTAGGATATCAGCTATCCAGTTAGTATGCAGAGTGTAACAGGAATGGTGAATACGATATATACAGCGCTATCCTTGTTAAAAAAGAAGTCGAAATGTCCTGTACTATTTTTTTCTATCGAGAATAGGATCTATTTCTACTTTTTAGTCCTATCCGCTATACGTTCCGTTGGGGGACGCGATTGATTGGCTGTGCTTCAATTACTTATTACAAAAAAATTATGCACTGTAGAAAAGAAAAATTGTACAGGACTTTACGACTCCCTTTTCAACAGGGATAGCGCTGTATAAACCGTGTCCACTATTACTATTACACCCTGTATAGATCAGTGGTCTAATTCCTATGTTGGCGCTTGATACTCTGGAAATTGGACGGCAAACCAAGAGTAAGGATAAAAAAGAGATTGCACGTGTTAGCCAACGGTATCTCACATATGGGAGGAAGAAAGGCCGGTACTGTATGTGAGATAAAGAACGCAGGTAATCCTCTATACAGTAGACTCCCATATAGCGTGGCTAATACGTTACGCACTATATGAATTCGCGTTGTAAGAAATCGTGCTTTACCGGAATTTTTATCGTATAACGCACATAATGTATTACGTTTTTAGGCGCGTTGTCCAAAGAATCGCGTTATATGAAAACAGTAGTCGCAATGTGTCTAGCGCGTTATAGGAAACCGTAATTTTGCTGTACCGTAATTTTTCTCTTATAATGCGCATAGTATGTTTCGTTATATGCCGCTTTGTACAAAGAATCGCGCTACATGAAAACAGTAGTCGCAGTATCTTTGGCACGTAATAGGAATTCGCGTTGTAAGAACTCGCGTTATACGGGAGTCTACTGTATATCTCCATAAGATTAAGAGAGATGGAGGGATGATTACGATCACTGTTGCCAATTTAGCGTATTTTCTGTTAGATTTGGCTTTTTTTAAGTCCTGTTTAGTGGGACGAAATTACAATTTGGCGGCTGGTGGCGATTCTAGCTATTTCGAACAAATCTAGGGGAAAAATTGGCTATTTCCGCGCTTACATTGCCGCATTCTAATGCTGACAATGACTACGTCTCCATTGTACCAGAAATCCGGGATTTATCGGGTCTAAACCAGGGTTGGGTAAGTATAATACGTCAAGTAATATACGTGGTTTTCTACGCGTATATTACAACGTATAATACGTAGAGTTCGAAAATTCTCGGTAACATTAAATTGGAGAAGGTAACTGTGAAACATACCGTAAGTTACCGGGAACATTGAGAATTTAAGAGAACATTAATTTTGTTATTTATACTTTGGGTTTCTTCGTTTAAATAACTTTTTTTTTCCAATCAACTTCAAAGTTCAAGCTAAAGAGTAATAATTACTATTAGAAAATATTGATTATAGGGTCGTATTTAATTCCAGCTAAAAATATTCACGTATGTACAACTTCACGGAAAATTCCATGCCATTTGTTTCAAACGAACTGATATTTCATTCTGCGACGAAGCGAATGGGAGGTTTTGATCGGTTACGGAGAACGTACAACGGAAATTCCCCTCTACGATGTTTCTCTATAGCTAATCGAAACCTCTCGTTCGCTCTGTTGAAAAATTCAAATTCTCATAATTTCTCGATAAAAAAGGCTTTGGAGAAATTACCGATAAATTACCGGGAATTTCTCTTCGTTTCTGACGTAACTTACTGCATTTAGAACTTTAATAACACGTCCCTAGTTTTCTACGCAGGCACGAAGTATATTACCCCAAACTAAACGTGCAGAGCGCATACGCAATATCGTCAATAGCCAATGAGAGTCCACCTATTTACCTCTAAGAGAGATTCTCATTGCCTATTAAGGGGATTGTGCTTTATGCATCCACAAATCCGCGCATCTTCGAAATCAGCCTTAGAAATTTGAAATGTATGCATATATGTGCATTTGACGTTTGTTTAAAACGGCTGGTAACGGCTATTTGAAGTCGTAAGATTCGTAACCAATATTTGTATCAAAATGTATAAAGGTGGAAGACCAAAAAGTAAATTATGGGATGAAACAAATGGACAAGATGGATGTTTATAAACTAGCGGATACCGCATGCCCTACGTCTTTCTTGTCCGTCATATTTGATACGTTTTCTTCGGTGAACTACTTGATTTACGTCATATACGTCAAAAACCTCGAAAATCGTGAAATTACCCAACCCTGGTGCAAACCCATTCAATTCGAACTTAAGGTGAAGTGAAACACGTCGAGGAACTTGATCAGCGTCGATAAAGATTTTTCTAAATGCCTACGTTGCCGACGTTTGTTTCTATATTGACAGCTAGGTCGAATTATATTGGGTATTGTGCCAAATGGCATACTCCATCTGTCATTTTCGTACTGTAATTATAAAGAAATCGAAGTAAAACTCCAGAAATCCTCTGGATTCATGCTTTCTGGGGCCCTAATTGACTGCAGAGGGACCCCCTGCGCCATCTGTGATTTCCAGGTCAATTAAATCTTCACTCCGAGACCTCGTATTACCACCGTTTTGGTATAGAAGCGCATACAACACTTTTTTTGCCTTTATCCCGTTCAAATGCGAGTTTATCGATTACCAGAGTGTTCTAAATTGCCGTAAAATTGTCCTGACCCTTTCGATTCTCATATCAGAGCCTTCAATAATTGTATATTGATCGAAATATGAGAGCTCGACGCCATTTTGGTTCTGGTCTGGATTGAGTTAATAAATTTTGTTGAAAAATCCAAATTTTGAATGTGTCAGGACAATTCTTAGCTGATCAGGAGTGATGTGTCAAAGTTTCGGACAGTTTGGTCTAATACCCTTAAAAAAAAGTGTTGTATTCGAATCGACTGATTTGAAGGATGTTTCACTTCACCTTAAGTATTGATCGAGACGCTCAGGATCAAATCTGGATAATTATTAATGCGATGAAGACACGCTATTTATTGGACCCGATAAATCCCGGATTGACGAGTATGGAGATGTAGTCATTGAATGCTTATTCAGCCAAATGAATCTGATACAAATAAAATTACGTAATCGATTGAAATTAAAAACGGTTAACGCACTTCTCGCCATACGTTCTGGTTTGAAAAGAGTAAATAAATGGTGTTACGACTTTGACGTAACTGAAGATGTATTAAATAAAATAAAGACCAATTAAACATATACCTATAATGGCAGTGATGCCGGAAATGAAGAGATCATGGGTACAGATTTCAGTTTTTAATTTTTTGCATCTTCTGTATCATTATGTCATGATAGGGTAATGTTCATTTTTTAAATGTTATTCTTTGAATGTTCCTTATTCAATGTTATTTCAAGTTTATTATATGAACTTAAATAATATATAAAGAAACCTTAGTTGTTCATCATTTGCTTTCCATGTAACAATTTAGTGCCTTTTATTATCTAGCGATATTCTGACGGTATTTAATAAGCCATCTAGCGAGTTCTCTACTTCATGCGTTGGCAACACTGATTACGATAGCGCTGCCATCTGTTGGCTAATACACTCTTTATCAGGCATCAAACGTTTGCATTCTTCTGGACTTTTATCTTTGTCATGGCTTTCATTCCTATTTCATTCCGTTTTCTGTTTGATCTAAAATGAATCGATGAGTCAACGAGAATGACATAAGACCGAACTGGAAACGATATAACGAAGTGACTAAGCAATACAGTGCTGCTATCATTGCAATTGTAGATATATAACCTCAAATCTCAACTTGAAACCAGCAATTGAATTTTAAGAAAACAATAACGGTTTTGAGGAAAAAAAATGTGTTAATATACTTACATGTATGATAGATTGTTCGAATCGACACAAAATAACCTCTTTTTTCTTGTTTATTAGTTGGCAACACTAAATTCATTTCCATTTCATTCCGCATTGAAGTAACGGTGGTTGTATCAACGTTATTCCTCATCGATCCTGTTTCACTTTGGAGTGAAATGAAAATGAGAGCCCGGTGTAAACTAAGCTACCGGTTAAACAGCAGAGTGCCCAGGTTTTTCTGTGTATTTAAATCAGAGCAAAAAGTGAAATGAAAAACTAGAAGCCATTGAAAATAATATGTTAAAAGTTCTCTTCTAGTTTTACATTTCTATTATACATATAACAATAAAAGTACAAATAATGTGAATTAAGTTGTCGGGCATTGACAAAATCATTCGTAACGTAAAAATCATCCAATTTGTGACTTGCAACTTTCACACAGAAGGTGTCGACAAAGCTCTTTCAATCTCCCAATCGGGGTACTCTGCTAAGCAGCAATAGTGGTGTAAAGGTGCGGAAAATACTGGTGTATCGGAGATAAAGAAAAATAGCGTATTCGTTACCGAATTCCTTAAGTAGAATGTGCTCTGTCAGCAAAATTCGATGGGCAAAAGCTGTGCCTTCTGCAATTTCTCCCTTGTAAGCTTCGAACAAGGGGAATCAAAGGCTATTTCTGTGCATTCCGATCAGGCCACAAAGGAAAACAAGCAGCTCTCAAACTAAAGTCTAGTCTTTGGCCAGCAGAATGCAGGATGCTTTATACTCCAATGGCCACTTACTTCTTTGCGCCATAAAACAGATCGCAAATATTAATTGGCTTTCTTCCAGTATTCCTTTTGTTTCATTTCTCTCGTTTCTTTTTTCTAAAACAAACAGGTTTTCCACCTGAAAATAGTTAAAGGAATGCATGTGGATGTAAACGAAAGCAAGCAAAGCTACTATTCCGACTTTTAAATGTGCAACAAGAGTTCCGATTAAAGTCATTTCCACTTTTGATGTTACTTTGTTACTGTTTGCTTTCTCGATTAAAATACGGAATTCTTTATTAAATTCTAACATCTACAGTTTCTTGAATGTATTGTGACGATAGCTTAAATATCTGCTCAATATACAAAACGTATGTTCCATTGATATATTCAGATGGATAAAATTCCTTGTTAACGGGAAATACAAACTTAAAATAAACTTCAGGTTTATAATGAATCTCAAGTTTATCCATTTAAAAGTGGAAGTAACATAACTTGCCGTTCTGAAATTTATTTACCCTTTTCTAAAACTAATTTGGATGTACGTGGGGTTTAGTTATTTACTTAAATATCTCAAATGTATTGGAGAATTTTTAAGGTCAAATATTATTATTTGCCCCGGGGTTTGCCATAATTTAATAGTTTTCAACATGTATTTCATTTAACGTGTACTTTAAATGTACATAAGATGAGAGGTTAGACTTATTTTTCTTAATTTACTATCTACCGATATTCTAGCAACAATATTTTCATTCTCAACACCGTATTTCCATATATAGTAAAACTGATAATTTCCTGTCAGAGTGTCTCATCGAATACACCGTTAAAAGAGATTTTATATTTACCCACCGTTGACAGAACCCACTCGTACTTCAAGTAATTGTTTCTCGTTGGTATGATTGTAATTCAGAAAAATGTGTTCACCCTTCCTTGACTAGGCCAAAGGCGTATATTTTCGTACGCATTACTATCTAAGCCAATGCATTTAAGAACCATCTTCTAATTGGGTGAAACGCTACTGTTCGTTACCTTCATTTATAGTTGTGAAAATGTAAATGTAACGGATAGACTTCAGTGTTATATTCGCATTCACGGATCTTTCTCGAATTCCAAGGAATCCTTTTAAAAAAATCCTTCAATTGAGCCGGTTTAAGAAGTAAATGCTTTATGGGTAAAGGAATTTGATATCATACGATAAGATCATGTCTCATTGTAGTCAAATCTTTGGCTACTCGAATCAATGCAATAATATATAAAATTAATTATAAAGATACTCTACCCATGTACTTTACAGAGCTCGCAAGTACTTTTGCCGTACCTATCGCCCATATACTATTCTGTAATATGTTGTTAAATAAAATGTATTTTTTAATTGTAATTAATAAATGAAATTCCTAAACGACTGCAATCGCGGGATGTGAAATTATGTGGAATAAATTATAGGAATTCTGTTATGGTAATCTCTGAATTCTGGAAAATAGATTCACCGTTAACGAACGTAAAAAGCAGAAAAAGGCATAGTATATAGGCATGTACATAGTATATAGTAAAAGCATACTTATTTGATTATTAGGAAAGGAGGTCTCATGCTGTAACGTAACTATTTGGTGATTGTATGTTATGTTCCTTATAAATTTTGTGCCCTTGTCACTTCAATCGGAAGTGGGTGCATCATGCATCATTTAGATCATTGAGCATCACTTCTAAACAGTACAAGTATTTATTTGTAGTAATGGACCCATTTTCAAAGTTTGTGTGGTTGTACCCATTGAAAACAATTACATCTAAAGAAATTATAAGTAAATTTTTGGAAATCCGTGACGCGTTATTTGTGATAAAGCAATCACCTTGAATGATTTCCAGGAATATTGTGCGATCGAAGGGTTTCAATTAATTTGTACAACCACAGGCATTCCTTGAGGAAATAACTAAGTTGAAAGAAGTAACAGAATAATCATACTTGCATTAGTTAAATTAACCATCGACTAACCCATGCAAATAATGTATTAATAGTTCCTTTCAGCATAGAATTAAAATGACACTGTTTGAATTAATATTTGGAATAAAAATAACACAACATGAAGACCTTCATATACTATTTGTTATCGATGAAGAAGTACCTCAGCTGTTTAACAAAGAGCGATTGGAATTGCGTGAATTAGGTAAAAAAAATATTCAAGCAATTCGGACAGAGAATAAGATGGCCTATGATAACAAAATGTAAGACCTATAATTTATCATAAAAGTAATTCAGTAGTCATTAAGCGTACAGTTTGGTACTGGTATGAAGCTGTGGAAAAAATCTTAGGACCATATCGAATATCGTGTATTCAAGATAACAGTAGATACAAAGTTATTACAGTAACGGAGAGTAAAGGTTCTAAAATTACGACGATGGTCACCGATTATGTAAAGATATATCCTGAAAAGTCTTCGAGAATGAAAACACAAGAATGGCTGAATGTAGGAATTGGTAGACACCCAGTAACACTTTTGTGGATGTCTTTCCTGAAATGCATTGCCTGGGGCAATCAACAAAACAATGTGTACAGATACAGAGAAACAGACAAGCCGTGGCACCGTTATCTCTGTTTATTTCACCATTTAATTTATATTAATCTCCTTGTATTCTTATAAGATAATAAAATCCTACATGTATCACAATATCTGTACTTTAAAATAATATATAACAGACACAGAAGAAAAACTTCTTTATTTAAAAACAGCAAAACCAACAATAATTCTTTGGACAATTTAATAAACGACACCAATTAAATGTTTGACTTGTTTATACAAAAGAATGTTACTGGAGTCATATAATATGAATAAGATGACTTACATTTAAGTTGAAAACATATTTATAAATGTTTTTTTATAACAGTACATAATGCACATGTAGTAGTTCATCTTTATCACTGCAGTACTTTGAACATAAGAAATACATTACTACTACCAGCTGATTGCGTGACTTCAGGATTACAAATTTATATGATTATCTCAATATCACCCAGCTCTTCGTCAGTTGGCAGTTCAAATTTGGAAGGGTCCACCAAATTGGCATCGATCAGTGGCAAACCAAGTTCCTCTCTCCGACGAAGTTGTAAATGCGCTTCTCTGATCGCCCAGTCACGTAATTTTGGATCCGGCCAATAGGCGATTATCGTCCCTCCGACGATGAAAACCATCGTTATCGCACAAAAGAATGTCATGTGCATGCCCACACGATCAGCGAATTCATCCTTGCGATTGAAGCCATAGCTCACCCAACTTTTCTTTTCCGTCGAAGTTGACTCTGATGAGCTTCCAACCTTACGAAGAGAGGTACTAAGAGGATGACGTTCCTTTGTCTCATAACGAATGATGCTTGAACCTCCTTTAAAAATACACGAATTCCGCAATCGAGCCAAAAGAGCTGCCATTCTTTTCTAAAGATTAGAGGTTCACCTTCTACAACAAACTGCTGCAAAGGTTATGAAATTAGAGACTAGGGGACGGGCCAGTGTTGCCAAGTGTAAGCCCGTGAAGTCTAGTACACTGGCGAGCATGAATAACTTCCCTAGAGTTCGAAAATTCTCGGTAACATTAAGGTGAAGTGAAACCCCCTTCAAATCAGTCGATTCGTATACAACACTTTTTTTTAAGGGTATTAGACCAAACTGTCCGAAACTTTGACACATCACTCCTGATCAGCTAAGAATTGTCCTGACACATTAAAACTTTGGATTTTTCAAAAAAATTTTTTAACTCAGTCCAGACCAGAACCAAAATGGCGTCGAGCTCTCATATTTCGATCAATGTNTTCGAATTCCGCGCTGCTCCCGCCGCTAGTATGCTGCGTGGCCGGAGAGGGCAGTGCGGACCAGGAGGAAACCATCGATGGAGTTTAGTGTACGATGGAGACGTAGTCATTGAACAGGACTTCAGTAAAAACCAATGGTGCTGAACCTTTCGCGAAGGGCCGAAGTTCAAAAAAGATACCGGTACTGGACGTAAGTAACGTTCGCTGGGAACGAACGTTATTTTGATTACAGTATGTATAACATCTTTGTGTATTTTCACGATTAGAATAGTTTCGTAGTAGTATGCAATTTGTCGAACTCTGTTCAATTTATTGGTAACTAATTACGTTTTTATAAGATATATATCGTGTGTCGGTAACATCTTTCACCTTTTCATTCGTAATTCTCATAATATTAATTATTTATTTATTGTTTTTGCATTAATCAATGTTGAAACAAAATCTCAGAGGTGGTGTATGACAATATCGTTCCGTTTCTTGTTAATGATTAACTTCTTCCCTAAATACGTCTTGTGAGGTGTTACCAGTTCATTTCGACAAATGATTTTGAGAAAGTATTTTTGTATGAGCGATAGTAAGGTTAAATTGATTAGTTTTAAATGTGACATATTACTTTACAGGGTGTAACGGAACTGGTAGTCACAGTCGATATAGCGCTATCCTTGTTGCAAAAGGAGTCGAAAAGTCCTATATTATTTTTTCCTACAGTGCATAAATTTCCTGTAATAATTAAGTGAAGCATGGCCGATCAATTGCATTCCCGAATAGTAGACATTGTGGAAAGTACGTAGGTAAGGCTACTATGCCGCAGACGGTCGAATGTACTCCTACTGGCGTCTTCTCCACTATGTTGTCCATTCAGGAACACGATTGATTGGCTATGCTTGACTTTGTCATTACAGGAAATTTATGTGTAGGAAAAAAAATAGTTTAGGACTTTTTGACTTTTTTTAACAAGGATAGCACTGTATGAACCTTAACTGCGAGTTCTGATACACCCTGTATCTGTTTTGAGCGGAAACTATTATTAACTATTATGATATATTATTGAGGTGATTGGTCATCATAGAACTATAATGAAGATATTCTTATCCGAAGTAGACTATTTTTTGTGGATATTCCGTTCAAAATTTGACTAAAGAAATAAATATTTTGGTTTCTACATCATTGCGGCCTTAAGGTGAAGTGAAACCCCCTTCAAATCAGTCGATTCGAATACAACACTTTTTTTAAGGGCATTAGACCAAACTGTCCGAAACTTTGACACGTCACTTCTGATCATCTAAGAATTGTCCTGACATATTCAAAATTTGGATTTTTGGACAAAAATGTTTAACTTAGCCCCGACCAGAACCAAAATGGCGTCGAGCTCTCATATTTCGATTAATATACAATTATCGAAAGCTGTGATATGAGAAATAAAAGGGTCAGGACAATTTTACAACAATTTAGAACACTCTGGTAATCGATAAACTCGCATTTGAACGAGATAATGGTAAAAAAAATGTTGTATGCGCTTCTATGCTAAAAGGATCGTAATACGAGTTCTCGGAGTGAAATTTAATTGACCTGGAAATCACAGATGGCGCAGGGTGTCCCTCTGCAATCAATTAGGGCCCCAGAAAGCATGAATCCAGAGGATTGCTGGAATTTTACTTCGATTTCTTTATAATTATTGTACGAAAACGACAGGTGGAGTATGCCATTTGGTACAATACCCAATATAATTCGATACAGCTGTCAATATAAAAACGAACGTCGGCAACGTAGGCATTTAGAAAAATCTTTATCAACGTTGATCAAGTTCCTCGACGTGTTTCACTTCACCTTAAGGGGCTATACCTGTGTAACCGCCCTAAAAATAGGCGACTTTCGGGCATTTTTTTTTTTTTTTAAGAAATATTACATGCGATGTTTTAAAACTTCAGGGATGTATTTAGTTACAAATCAAATATGTACAATAATTGTTTGGTACAAAAATAATAAAAAACAAGCGACTTGTGCGCTATCTCCCAGGGCTCCAAAGAAAAAGTTGCTCCACTGCTGCAGTGATTGCCGCCGCGTGAATGCCTAAAATGAAAAAATAACGAAAAACGCTGTTAAATTAGAAGGTATTTTCCGTACCATGAACTAGGATTTTTAAAAAATATCAAAATCTGACAAAATCGCGTAGTTTTGAAAAAAATTGGAATTTTGCCGAAAAAATCATGGTTTTTTAATGCCAAATTAACATTTCTTATCCAATCAAAAACATCCTAGTTCATGGTATGACAAAACATGCACTGAACACGGTGATAAAAGTTTCGAGTCGAATCAATAATTTGTATTCAAGTTAGAGCTGCAGCAAATTTAAAAAATACCGTTTTGAGAAGGACGTGTATAAAGTTAAAACTACTGGTTTCTTTGTGATAAAGCGATATTTACCATACTAAAAGTTAATCTGCTATTCCGGGCCCATGTAATGGACCCTCCTCTTCCTCAAAAAGTACCTGCTGGGCCGCTGCAGCTTTTTTCCGAGTTGTCCGACTCTCTTTTCAAGCCGCCTGATGTAACTCCGCTTGGTAAATTCTGTTTTCATCTCTCTCGTCGGCATGTTCCTTTGCAATGGGACCAGTAGTAACTCCTATTATTTGGAAAATTTTAAAAATAGATTTAAAACCATCATTAAAAATGCCAACGGCAAGAAAATTGGCAAATTTGATGGTTTTTAAGCCGGTGTGGAGGTGCTTTGGAGCAAAGTGCCAAAGCAAGCCATGCTAGCTTTCATTATTATTTTGGGTATTTCCACCCTTGCACCTGTCTAGTAAATCACTTCTACTTAGGTCCGTATAAATTGGCTTCAGAGCTTGTTCAATCTGTGGGTCTAGGGGAAGATAATCGTGTTGGAATTTTGACATGTCTAATCCGTTTGAACCTCCGCGCGGCGATATGCAGGGGGTCGACACTGCCATGTATTGGGGTGTAACGCTTTATGCACTACCGCCATCTTCGGTTGGAGTAAACCTTCTTCGCGAACTAAAATATTTGGCGGGCTATTCAAATTCATTTATTAAACGAAGGGATATTTTCGGGATTTAAAAAGTACTTGCAATGATCAAAACAGACGTTGCTTAAACTGACACACAAATGTAAGAAAACAGTATATTAAACATAAAAGAAGCAACAAAAGTGTCAGTGGCGCAACGCCTGTTTTAAATCACTGTAAGAACTGAAATAATTACGTTAAACATTAGTTAAAAAGTAACATATTTATTAAGATAAAAATATTAATTGTTATGAATGTATAAATATACAAATTCTATACAAATTTAATTTTTGTGATGATTACTTTCATGGATTAAATGCGATCTATAGATCGCATTTAAGCCATTTAATTATTACAATTATTATAGTAAGAAACTACAAACTGTTCTTGATTTACACTTTTACTCGCAAACTCACGTTCGCGATTTAATACCCGAGGTAATCGAAACTTGTAAAAATATTGCCACTAATCGAGGTTAGGTTCACTTTGGTTCACTTGTCCCGACTATTTTTATGCGCATCTACGTTGCGCCTCCTGGAGTCTCTTGCTATTGGTTAGAACATTTTTTCTCTGTTCTTCTCTTTCTATTAGACTGAAAAGTCACGACACCAGCGCAGTCTTTGCTTGGAGTAGGTGAACTAACTTCAGCGTTACACCTCTCCCATAAGGAGTGTCGACCCCCTGGCGATATGTACACTGGTATTCATCGATGGTTTCCTCGCAGACCTACTGCCCTCTCCGGCCGCACGGCGACTTGCGGCGGGAGCAGCGCGGAATTCAAATCGCCCAAGGGGCAGAATAGATTTTTTAAAGAAAATGTTTATAAACAAAAACAATGAATGAAAATGATTTAAATATTATTGTGAACTGTCCCTGACCCACTTAACGTAGTTTTTGTTAAATGCTTATTTACAGAATTTCTTAAAGAATATATTGAAACATGTTTTATTAAAAATTAACAAGTTTCTTAGCGATTCAATTGTTCCATCCACTGAACCGAAGTTAGAATGTTATCTTAGCTTAAAAAAATAGTTTCTAAATGTACATACTGTGAAATGCCGTAGGAAAATTTACGACGCATCAACTTTCGGACATAGAAGCGAATAAATGAACACCTGTAAATCACTAAATGAGCATATGAATGAGCACCCGTAAATATAAGTAAGACTTTCTTTATCCGAGTTATTTTATACATGCAAATCTCAGTAAATTTTCTGAATTGAGTTCATTCGAAATAGGTATCAAAAACGCAAAATACCATTTTCTATTTCGCATTTGGAATAAGAACAATAAACTATTTTGGATTTCCTATTTTAAATAGATTTTGAATCTATTTCCATTTGAAATTAAATACTTCCAGAGAAATGAGAATATTAGACAAGAATCGATCAGAATGAAACTTGTTCTATCAACAGAATCAAGTCTCGAAAAAGTTAAACAATACGCATAACTCGAAATAGCCACTTTCGCAAAAACAGATGAAATTAAATTATTTATTTGTATTTTAAATACAAATATGAGCCATAAAATTACGTGTCCGAATAAAGCATGGACAACTTACATAAGTTGGCAGGACGATAAAAGAATCGTTGTATCGGGTTAATTGATACTTTTCCGTGGGGGTAGAGAAAGGATGAAATAAACCAGCAAATGTGTAAACCTGCCAACCCTTTATTTTCATACCTTTTACAAATCCAATTGTTATACGAATCATCAAAACCTAATCGTTTCACAAAACGCCTATTTCCACGCTTCCTGAGCATCTTCTTTATAAGATAAACGTAGGGATATGTAATGTTACGTAGGCACCCTCCGTACCCTAACCTAAGGAAAAACCCATTTTCCGATCACCGAAAGCTAGTCATGGAAATCCGAGTACGGAAACGCGATTAGGAAACTCTTGCGAAAGGATCCAACACTAAATCACCTGACACAAGTTCATCGGCCAAGACGACTCCAAAAGTCATCGATCGACCCGGGGCGAACAACCTGATGACTACACAACGCGTCAGCACGACCCAGAAGCGCCACTCTCACCTGGGCCCTAGGATCTCCCATCAATTGGAACACCTTGCTAATAAAACCAGCCTTCAGCTCGGGTCGGCATGTCATTCAGTTAGTTACCAGTTAGTCTCTTCAAGTCAAGTCAATGTCGACGTCTGTCGACACCCTCGAGTGGAGCTCCTGGTCCTCGGGACGCCGTTCCTAGCCAGTCAGAGACCGACACTCAGACTCCCTGTCGAAGACCATCTATCCTGCGAGCCGCAGTAGTGCCACCTGGTACTCCAGCGATCCCAGCGCACCGAGTCAGGAACAGAGGGCGACATTGCAACTTCTGTTGGACGGGAGGCTTCTAGCAGACCTCCAGCCCTAGGGCACGCCACGAGACGAAGGTGTCCATGCGCAGTCATCCGGCTGGGTCGATCAAAGGAGAGTGTCACCGAATTCGGCCGCTCCTCAAGCTAGGTAAAGGATCCTTCGCAAACTCGACTCATCTTGATTCCATTCTAGTTTACTTCTTAACCCCTCATCTCCGAACAAACCGAATTCTAACCATTATCGCGATTTCCATGCCTTGCTCCGGTTAACCGGATAGAATAAGATATCATTAACTTCCTTCAAACAGCTGAGCTCGAAATCTCAGCATCGCGAGGTAGATTAGAGTCACACGTAGACCGCCATTCTAACAGCAAAGAATTCCCGCGTCAGCACTCCGGCGTTCAGTAACTTACCGCCACTAAAGCGCGCTATCGCGATACCCGAACCGCTGCGACACGGAAGTATAATAACCCAGAGAAAATTCGGTGAAGGCACCTCGGGTGTCCCTCCCGTTGTGCCCTTTTGGGCCCCTGCCGAGGGGTAACCAATACCGGCGCGACCATTATAACAGCTGAGCTCGAAATCTCAGCATCGCGAGATAGATTAGAGTCACACGTAGACCGCCATTCTAACAGCAAAGAATTCCCGCGTTAGCACTCCGGCGTTCAGTAACTTACCGTCACTAAAGCGTGCTATCGCGATACCCGAACCGCCACGACGCGGAAGTATAATAACCCACCGAAAGTTAGGTCAAGGCTCCTCGGATGCCTCTCTCAGCTGATTATAAACTAAACCTCACGGACGAATAGATACAACCTTCATAGCACACTAGCCCACATCGCCATTCATTCAAACCCCTTTTCACCCCTCACTTACCTAAATCCCACCAGAGGAGTTGATCTAGTCGCTCGAATCAATCTCCTCGCAAGATTAAAATACTCATTACGCGCGAAATTCAGGTATTCTCTACCCAAATCTTCCCACGTAACAATAGTAATCACAAGCATAACATTAAGAAATGGCTAATTAAATTGCCGAACATTAGGCGCTGTTTCAAAATACATGAGCGGCGATGAAATTCTGTAAGCTTGGAATTTTTATGGGCATGCAAACTATTATATATATGAAACAATGTTTTCTTTACTATAGGCTATTGATATCCTCAACTTTTAAGTTGCGCGCATGTGAAGTGGTACACTCTGTTTTTTGGGTCTGTGTGTTGGGTTTACATTTATCTGTTCTGGCTTTACTCAACTGCTCTCTATGCGAATTATGTGTAAATGAATTATGTTAAAGCCTTGATTATGTTTTTAAGAATGCCTTAATCTTAAGGCTGTAAAATAATACTTGGTATTGTTCTCTTTCAGAATATGGTTGTTCGACAGTACCAAGAAGAACTGAAATATCTGGAGAAGATGAATGATTATTGTTGGAAAATTAAAAAAGGATTTCAACCTAATATGAAGGTAAGTTATTTGTATTAGGATGTATAGTCGATTTATAGGTTACGAAGTTGGATAATCACTACTATGTGCTATGAAATAATGCATACTTCTGTAATCATGTGTTAATGTCATTTTTATTCCAAATAGTATTTAGATGCAATTATTTGGGCAATGATGTTATTTTTTATGTGTCAAGGTAGAAGGCGTGTTCTACGTGAATGCTCCATTGGAGCGATTAATGTTGGATGAACTACGCAATGCTTGTCGGCCAGGAGCTGTTGGTGGTTTTCTTCCTGGAGTTAAACAAATTGCCAATGTTGCTGCATTACCAGGAATAGTAGGAAAATCTGTAGGACTGCCCGATGTGCATTCCGGATATGGTTTTGCCATTGGTAATATGATTTATTAATCGTCAGTTAAAATTACACTCGTATAAAGGGATATGCGCGATTCAAAAGTTGTGAGTGCTTTAGGCACTGATATGAATACACTGGATACGGGATCGCGTATGCTTACTATCGGAAAGAAATCCGCCGAATTGAAGAGCCGCCATATTAACAAAGTTACAAGTATACGTCATTTGCTGTAATGTCTAAATAAAAGTACGGTAACCGTCAAATTGGCGATTGTATAAGTCCGAAATAGAGATAATTCTTAAACTACATGAGACTACATGAACCAGGATTATCTAAAAATCCTAAAATGGCGACATTTTGAACGAAATTTTGAATTTTGAAAATGAATATACAGACCTATTACGTCTCAGTGGTGATGTGAAATTATTTAAAGATTGCTCGTTTTACAGGTAATATGGCTGCGTTTGATATGAATGATCCACAGTCAATAGTATCGCCTGGAGGTGTTGGATTTGATATAAATTGCGGTGTTCGTCTTCTCCGAACGAACCTGTTTGAAAAAGATGTCCTTCCTGTTAAGGTGAGTAAAACATTACTATGAAGTTAAATGATTTTTGTTTTCGTAAACTAATAATGACCTTTTTGTGCATGTTGTAACGCGTACGATTATTGCTAAAACTACTCATATACGAAACAACACTTTGCGACGGGGATTTGACGGATTTCGTAGAGATAGGTATATCACATACAGATTTTAAAAATTTGAAGGCTTAGGAAAAAATAATTGTGTATATAAATTCTTTGGATGAAATGATTAATTCACGATTGAAAAATGGTTAAATTAATGCTATGGTTTTTTCGGTATTTCTCCTCGAAGTTTGAATTCCGTCAAATTGACGGGTCCCGTAAACCTAGTGTTGAGTGCGAGTTGAGGAAATAATTTATATACAATTTGACATATTAAGGTGAAGTGAAACACGTCGAGGAACTTGATCAACGTCGATAATGAAAATTTGTCTAAATGCCTACGTTGCCGATGTTCGTTTTTATATCGACAGCTGGGTCGAATTATATCGTGTATTGTACCAAATGGCATATTCCACCTGTCGTTTTCGTACAATAATTATAAAGAAATCGAAGTAAAACTCCAGAAATCCTCTGGATTCATGCCTTCTGGGGCCCTAATTGACTGCGGAGGGACCCCCTGCACCATCTGTGATTTCCAGGTCAATTAAATTTTCACTCCGAGACCTCGTATTACCATCGTTTTAGCATAGAAGCGCATAGAACACTTTTTTTGCCTTTATCCCGTTCAAATGCGAGTTTATCGATTACCAGAGTGTTCTAAATTGTCGTAAAATTGTCCTGACCCTTTCGATTCTCATATCAGAGCCTTCGATAATTGTATATTGATCGAAATATGAGAGCTCGACACCATTTTGGTTCTGGTCTGGACTGAGTTAACAAATTTTTTTGAAAAATCCAAATTTTTAATGTGTCAGGACAATTCTTAGCTGATCAGGAGTGATGTGTCAAAGTTTCGGACAGTTTGGTCTAATACCCTTAAAAAAAAGTGTTGCATTCGAATCGACTGATTTGAAGGATGTTTCACTTCACCTTAAAAGCCGCTATCACATCACGTTACGCTTGTGTACAATTAAAAATTACTCTTGTTTCGGATGGGTAGAACTGCTAATTCTGAATGTTTTTATTTCTTTCTCTATATTTCTTTTCTCAGGAACCACTCGCCCAAAGCATGTTCGATCATATACCGGTTGGTGTAGGCTCTAAAGGTATCATTCCAATGAATGCGCGTGATATGGAAGAAGCACTTGAGATGGGCATGGATTGGTCACTTCGCGAAGGTAAGAAAATTTGTGTATAGTATTGAAATTCTAAAAGGTTTTGCGTGGTGTAATATTTTTATCAATATTAATTTGCGTGCGAATAATATTTATTTCTTCCGATTACTATGAATTAAAAAGAAAAGTCATTTGAAATTTTGCAGTAATGTAAAAAATGTTAAAGATAACCCTTTAATGAATATGTAGCTTAAATTAGCTTTGTTTCGACATTTTTTTTCAGATGTATTGATCAGAATATAAGGAACTGTTATATTGGTGTAGACTTGACGTTTAAAAAATGCGTATTGAATGTGACGTCGTAAATTTCAACTATAACTGAGAAATAATTTTCGTTAGCCCTGATTTGTGGTATTACGAAGGTATTGCTTTTTAAAAACACAAAAACATTTGTTCCAAACGTAGGAAACTGCAATATGACTAACTGCTAATATATTTGACAGCATTTATTATACGTATTTATAGAAAGCTTGTACGTTTCGCTACATGAGACAGAGTGTCCGTACTAAAAAGACCTTAGCATTTATTAATATTTTGTTCTCTTTTGCTTTTTTATAAGGGTATATTTGGGCGGAAGATAAAGAACATTGCGAAGAGTACGGTAGAATGCTTAATGCTGATCCATCGAAAGTGTCCGTACGAGCAAAAAAACGTGGGCTGCCTCAGGTAGATACAAGAATGTTCCATACATTTTTCGTCAATTGTATATGTACAAAATATTGGGTTGTTGGAAAAGTCATGACGCGTTTTCGTAACAGATGTCATAGAAAGAATACGTCATGACTTTTCCGACAACTTAGTAGATATTACTTTCAGCTTGGAACATTGGGTGCCGGTAATCACTATGCAGAAATTCAAGTGGTTGATGAAATCTACAATACTCGAGCAGCCAGTAAAATGGGAATTGAAGAAAGAGGCCAAATTTGTGTTATGATTCATTCAGGAAGCCGAGGATTTGGTCACCAAGTAGCAACAGGTACATCGTTAATGGGTTGTTTGTCTGCTAGTACTTTAAGGTGAAGTGAAACCCCCTTCAAATCAGTCGATTCGAATACAACACTTTTTTTTAAGGGTATTAGACCAAACTGTCCGAAACATTGACACATCACTCATGATCATCTAAGAGTTGTCCTGACACATTCAAAATTTGGATTTTTTAAAAAAACTTTAACTCAGCTCAGACCAGAACCAAAATGGCGCCGAGAATTCATATTTCGATCAATATACAATTATCGAGCGCTCTGATATGAGAATCGAGAGAGTCAGGACAATTTTACGACAATTTACAACACTCTGGTAATCGATAAACTCGCATTTGAACGGGATAAAGGCAAAAAAAGTGTTGTATGCGCTTCTATGCTAAAACGATGGGAATATGAGGTCTTGGAAGGAAAATTTAATTGACCTGGAAATCACAGATGGCGCAGGGAGTCCCTCTGCAGTCAATTAGGGCCCCAGAAAGCATGAATCCAGAGGATTTCTGGAGTTTTACTTCGATTTCTTTATAATTATTGTACGAAAACGACAGGTGGAGTATGCCATTTGGTACAATACCCAATATAATTCGACACAGCTGTCAATATATAAAAGAACGTCGGCAACGTAGGCATTTAGAAAAATCTTCTTTATCGGCGTCGATCAAGTTCCTCGACGTGTTTCACTTCACCTTAACACTAGGTTTACGGACGTTTTATACATACCTGTTTCTACGAGCATCCGTCAAATTGACGGGTAAACGAAAACACGCATTTTCTTTAAAAAATCGATTTATTCAAATTAAGTATGAATTAAACAACACTAGGCTTTACGTTTAAATGAATTATTAATAGGTAAAAAGTCCTTTTTTAAAAATTATCACGGAAATGATTGGAATGCTCGTTCTCTCATCCTCGGAATCAGAACTAGAAAGAATGTGCATCCTTTTCTTGCTACGGCACCCTTTCAAGAACTTTTCCTCTTCACTCTCCGAAGATCCTTTTATCTTTCCACTTTCAATGCAAACTTTCACTCTCATCTTCGCCTTACACTCACTGCAACGAAGCAAATATATATGGATTGTTTATGAAATTAGCTAGTCCGTCAATTTGACGGGTTTCGTAGAGATAGGTATACTACATACAGATTTTAATAATTAGATGGCTTAGGAAAAAATAATTGTGTGTAGAAATTTTTTGGATGAAATGATTAATTTACGATACAGAAATGGTTAAAATTAATGCTATGGTTTTTTCGGTATTTCTTTTCCAAGTTTGAATTCCGTCAAATTGACGGGTCCCGTAAACCTAGTGTGGATAAACTTCTCATTGCCAATTTTGCTGTGCGTTATTTCACATAGACTCTAACTGAAATTGTTGCTTACGATTAAAGATGCATTGGTACAAATGGAAAAAGCCATGAAGCGAGACAACATCGAAACGAATGATAGACAGCTTGCATGTGCTCATATTAAATCAAAGGAGGGGCAAGATTATTTGAAAGCAATGGCTGCAGCTGCAAATTTTGCTTGGGTAAATCGGAGTTCGATGACGTTCTTATGTCGTCAGGTAAGTAATGTATACTGAATGCTTTCTTAAATTACGTAATAATTAATGGAAATTGATGACTGGCTCAGACAACTATTTGGTCAGACAGTTATTGCCATTTGATTAACTGAAATATCAATATCATAACTCGGGTGTTCCTGTGTGAATGTCTAACGGACCAAAATGCACCAAAATGTTCATATGCTAGAGATATACCTCGGGTGCTCGGCAAATAAAATATTGTTTCGCGAATTTAGTTTCTAATTTTCTTATTTGTTTCGATATACTTTTTAATATTTGTCTTCCGTTTGAGGAAGCAGAAAGTCTTGAACATACAACATACGTGAACCCAAATGTACTGTGACATATGACAAATCGGAGGGGGACACCTCAGGTACCTTCCTTGTCAGTAGTTTCTATGGTATTAGTGTTTCATTGATTCCTAAACTCTACATCCGCGGTTAACTCAATAAGTCTGTTGCGAACGCCAAATTCGTCGCAACAGACTTCTTTATAAGTATAAAGGTATCTTTTCCTTCATCTCTCTCTCTCTCTCTCGCTCTCGCTGTCCCTCCCGCTGTCGCTCGCCCTCTCCCTGTCCCTCTCTCATTCTCTTTCTTTTCAATCTGGTCCCTTTTTTTTTAAATTATTAAAGCAGAATAATTTGTAGTAAATACAATCTTATTTCTTTCCTACTTATTAGCATTAGGTTAAGATCCAACTAACACTAACTCTAACCTTATTGTACCTAAGCTCCACCAGCTGAATCCTTCCTTACTATTTTCATCACAAGAAGGCGCGGGGCTTGGTTCAGTTTCCATTCTGCATCCCAGTATCTATCGTATGAAGGCGCGGGGCTTGGTTCAACTTATTTTTTGCATCCCAGTTTCGGTTGCAAGAAGGCGCGGAACTTGGTTCAGTTTCCCTTCCGCACCCTAATCTTTTCTATCTCCTAAAAACAAGAGGGCGCGGGGCTTGGTCCAGCTACCCCTCTGAATCCCCAAATCTTCCTGAATCTAAGGAGAAGGCAAGGATCATTCGGCAACATTACTAACTAATCGTTGCATGACGACTCTTTCGCAACCATTCCAACTACTAAGGACCACGACAATACCCGGGCGTACGTACCAAGGGATCCCTAATAATTCCAGGTCAAGTTGTAGCGCCTTAAGGTGAAGTGAAACACCCTTCAAATCAGTCGATTCGAATACAACACTTTTTTTTAAGGGTATTAAGGGGACCAAACTGTCCGAAACTTTGACGCATCACTCCTGATCATCTAAGAATTGTCCTGACACATTCAAAATTTGGATTTTTCAAAAAAATTTTTTAACTCAGCCCAGACCAGAACCAAAATGGCGTCGAGCTCTCATATTTCGATCAATATACAATTATCGAAGGCTCTGATATGAGAATCGAAAGGGTCAGGACAATTTTACGACAATTTAGAACACTCTGATAATCGATAAACTCGCATTTGAACGGGATAAAGGCAAAAAAAGTGTTGTATGCGGTTCTATGCTAGAACGATGGTAATACGAGGTTTCGGAGTGAACATTTAATTGACCTGGAAATCACAGATGGCGCAGGGTGTCCCGCTGCAGTCAATTTAGGCCCCAGAAAGCATGAATCCAGAGGATTTCTGGAGTTTTACATCGATTTCTTGATAATTATTGTACGAAAACGATAGGTGGAGTATGCCATTTGGTACGATACCCAATATAATTCGATACAGCTGTCCATATAAAAACGAACGCCGGCAACGTAGTCATTTAAAAAAATCTTCTTTATCGACGTCGATCAAGTTCCTCAACGTGTTTCACTACACCTTAAGGTGGTTTGAACGAACAAATAATGAAATATCTCATCACCGAACTCTTCATTTAATTCCACCCACCCAGACGTAACACTAGAATTCAGCTTTGATCGATTAGTGTTCCAAATTTTCATTCTCTCCAATTTCACGGATGGAGAATTATAGTTCATAAATTATTTGACAGGATCAAACAGTATTTGTGCAATTCTTATTATTTGTGTAGTAATTCTATAATTTTTTATTCCAGGCTTTTGCAAAACAATTTCATATGACACCAGATGACTTGGATATGCACGTGATATACGATGTTTCTCATAACATCGCAAAAGTGGAAGAGCACATGGTGGATAACAAACAACAAACACTTTTAGTGCATAGAAAAGTAAGTATTTATTATATGTGCTACTGGAATGGAGGTATTTTAAAAGTTCGTCACAAGAATTTGTCACGTATTTCTTTATGTTTCGAATATAATTTCTTAAATTAATAATGTGATTAACAATTTTCAAAATCCTTTTTCAATTATATAAGAATGTATATTTTTTCATATTTATTGTAAAAATGAATTGATTTTGGATGTGTTTAATGCTTAGCCCTTACATGATTGATAAAAAATTGTTCCGTTGTTCAATAGCAGGGTACCTAGGTACCCGTCGCACATGTTTCATATGCTAAAGGCATATGAAGATCTTTTATGCTTTTATACGCTCCTGAATATTGTCTATTATGTATAATCTATATAATGAAAGTGAAAATTCCTCCTAAAATTTCCCTACCCTGAGACCTTGTGACGGTATTTTTACTTTATAACTCCCAAAACTAAATCCTAGCAAAAATATTGTCTATTATGTATAATCTATATAATGAAAGTGAAAATTCCCCCTAAAATTTCCCTACCCTGAGACCTTGTGACGTTATTTTTACTTTATAACTCCCAAAACTAAATCCTAGCAATTAATCTTCCTACACTCTGATGAAATCACAAATAAATGATGTCTGGAAAGTATCTCCGTCTCGTACCCGCTCAAAACGACAGCAAAAATGTTGGGCTCCAGGCCCTCCAAAGGGCCAATCCGAGGCCCGAACTGCACGAGTCAAATCCGTCGCGGCTCGCACCAGCGACGAGCCTCCCAACCTACCCACGGATTCGTACCAGCGTATGGCCCGAGTGGTCGGTTCAACTACATCAACGCGAAATTAAACCGAAAGTCTCAGGCACGTGAAGATATAACGGAAGACAGCAGTACGAGGCGAGATATAGCGTCGCCGACGACGAATGTTGACCGAGCTAGCTCAGTACTCCCAAGCGACCGCGGAGAGGGTAGGGTCCATTCGAGAATTAAAGCCAGACGCAGAATTAAATTAACAACCCATTTAATCCATGTAAAGAGAATCTAACTAGAACTTTAAAAGAAAAGACCACGGGCGGACCCATAATTCGACACCGGCCCGGGCGACGGAGCTGCCCTCTCTCTCGAAGGAACAGAGCGCGCGGCGATATGTACGAAGGAGAAAAGACAGCTCTCAGGCTGCCGGAAAATCAGAAAGATAATACGCGAAAATACTTGAGATTCTAATTTTGGGCTCTACTACGTGACGGGAATATTAAGTTAGCCGGACGGCGTTACAAAAGTTTCTCAACCAATTAAATTATCGCGAAAAAGTTTAAGGGATCGCTCGCACGTAAATATCAACACGAGATAAAACTAAACGGGGCGAATTAGATACGAACTAAATTTCCGAAGAAAATATTCGGCAGTAAATTATCCGGCGGTTTATGAATTACGCAAGATAACTTAGGGGTTTCTGCGATTATTGGTTAGACTCGCTCTAGGCAAGAATAAAAGAAAGAAAATAAGCGCAAGACGGGCAGCAATTCAGGGTATTATCGGCGCAATCAGGTACACGAGATACGCAAGGGTTTCGGACATAATTAATTCCATAAATTTTCTGGAAATGAAAATGATTGAAACACAAATTATTGAGTAAATAAAGTATTATTCTATTTTGACCTCATCTGACCTTACGTAGATACCCCATCACCGTATGTAGTAATAGTGTTTCGGAAAATGAGAGAATTCATTAGTGTTTATCATTTCGTATTTGTTATGTTAATTAGGGATCAACGCGGGCTTTCCCTCCACATCATCCGCTTATACCTGTGGATTATCAGTTGACTGGACAACCGGTTCTAATTGGAGGTACAATGGGAACCTGTAGTTATGTGCTTACCGGCACCGAACAAGGCATGCAACAAACGTTTGGTACAACGTGTCACGGAGCTGTAAGTATTGTACTGCGTTGAGTGTGCGACGTGGTTTTTGTCACAATAAAGGGCGCTCAATTTCTATTTCTGTTTAACATAAAATTCTTTATTACTCTAACGCACTTTCACATTGTTTTATTCTCTATTTTGTCTTTAATACCCTGCTTTTTGAATTATGTAAATATTGCTTTTCGTTTGGTTTTTATGAGCCTTTTTCCAAATCCTAGTAAAATCGTAAAATTCGACCGGTTATCTTCGCATAAGCAAGAATCAAAAGGGTCAGGACAATTTTATGACAATTTAGAACGCTTTGGTAATCGATAAACTCGCATTTGAACGGGATAGAGGCAAAAAAAAGTTTTGTATGCGCTTCTATGCCAAAACGATGGGAATACGAGGTCTCGGAGTGAAAATTTAATTGACCTGGAAATCACAGATGGCGCCGGGGGTCCCTCTGCAGTCAATTAGGGCCCCAGAAAGCATGAATGCAGAGGATTTCTGAAGTTTTACTTCGATTTCTTTATAATTATTGTACGAAAACGACAGGTGGAGCATGCCATTTGGTGCAATATCCAATATAATTCGGCACAGCTGTCAATATAAAAACGAACGTCGGCAACGTAGGCATTTAGAAAAATCATCTTTACCGACGTCGATCAAATTCCTCGACGTGTTTCACTTCACCTTAATGCGGAAAGCCGCCGTTGTCGTACTTGATGTCATTCCGAGCCGTCAGCTGAGCCTGACTCTTGATTTTCCTGTCCATCGTGTTCTTTTCAGTCAATAATTGCTGGTTCCTGAGATCCTACAAATTGTACTGTATGTTCTTGTGCACTACCAGACTGACTGTTGACCTCGGTACGCCATTTTCTTTTAGCAACTCATTCACACTCCGCTCAAGGTTTTGTTTGATCTTCTTTTTTAGTTCCTTGGTTCCATCTCTTCCTTTTCGATCTGATCATTTGCTATGACTTGCCCGCTAAGAAGTAACATCTCCTTAATTGACAGTCTTAAATTTCTTGTTTAATTTGTAAATTTGAAATTTTTTTCTTTGGTCAATGATCTTACAGAGAACTGCTACACAGACAAATTTTTGTTGTGCGTCATTGTTGTTTTACTGGCCAAAATATACCGGATTTACGTCGATGGCCTTGTATTTTTCTTGTCATATTATGTATATACTTGCAATGAATAGTTGAAATACATGAATCATTAACAAAGTATATCTTAACGTATTTAACAGGGTCGAGCATTGTCCAGAGCCAAATCACGACGAAATTTGGATTATGTAGCTGTCTTGAATAAATTAGAAAAAATGGGCATTTCAATAAGAGTAGCCTCCCCCAAGTTGGTAATGGAAGAAGCTCCAGAGTCCTACAAAAATGTAACTGATGTCGTAAATACGTGTCATGCCGCTGGAATATCACAGAAGTGCATAAAATTACGACCAATTGCAGTGATCAAAGGCTGATACCGCACAGGAAATACACTATTATCTTTGTCATACATGTTTTATAATTAACGTTTCTAACAAAACTGATCTGAAGGTATCATCAATTACAACTTATGATTGGAGTTATATTACACTAAAATTGTTTACCGATGGATGGTGATTGTAACTTCTAAAGGAGAATAGAATGTATGCAATCTGCTAAGATATAAGTGCGAAATTTCAAATATACTAATGTTAATGTCCCATCATTCTCTTTCTTTTGAACGAAATCTTCCTTCGGCGATCATCGCAATGCGGCTGGCTGGCTCAGCATCAAATAAAAGAACCAAAGAAGTGCATTATTAACCTTTTAGGTACGGCTGAATTCTGCGCGAAGCTATTTCCCTGGACGGCAGAGCTGACGCGAACTACGTATAACCAATACAGCACTGTCATGTGTGACGGACAATTCCATGAAGACAATATCGGAATAAAGGAAGAAAATCGATGTGAAGACAAAAGAAGTGTGAAACAATGCCTATGAAGACGATTATTTAATTCAAACGGTGAGCGAGTGAGCCATTACAGTGGTGCGTCGTACAGGGAGATAACACCCGCGAAGGTCACNGCTCCTTGGCATTTTTAATCGGGGAATAAGACAAGCGCTATCGCGCCGCTTGGCACTTTTGGAGAGGGAATAAGACAAGCGAAAAAGCGTTCCTTGGCACTTTTGGACGGGAAAACAGCAAAGACACGTGGCACTCAAACGGTTAAGTACTGTTACGTTTGCGGAATCTCATGTATCTTAGCAAGACCTCGGAAACGCGACTTTCTTTCTACCCGCGCATCAGCAAATTCGGATTTCTGTCCTTCAGCTGCGTTCCATGAGAAAATACTCTCCCCTGCCACGATTATTTAAAAATTTAGTAACAGCGGACCCCCCCGGGACTACAAAATTCTAAAAGATTTCTATTTTCGACTCGAAGGAGAGCACATCCTGGCGATCATTCTGACTCGGCGACCGTCATGATCCCTAAACCTTTAGCTGCGATCGTAACACAGTTCGGGGAAAAATCTGGTGTCAGAAGTGGGATTTCTGACGGTAATCGCCGAGATTTCTTTTTCTTTTTCGTCTTACAAGATAGAAATTTTTCCTTTTGGATCAACTTTTTACAAAACACGAGGGTTGATCAACGGCAGAACATCCCCTGGAAGGAAGGAAAGAAGCTTGAGTCCGTGGTGGTGACAGAATCGACTGCCAATATCGATGTTGATCATCTTGACCATTCTAGCTTTTGCCCGGTCTTTGTAAGTATACTCCAAAATTCCGCCTATAAGGCACTGTTACGTCCCATGTAACCCACCAGATAGATTATCTCTGGCTCTAAGTACTAACGAGTTTTATTATCGCGCGTTGGAACTGAATCACAAGCGTCTCGCGTATTTAGGCTAAGATCTTATAAACTGTAAAGGGAAATCGGAAGACGGCGTACTGATATCAATTTAGACAGCATGACAAACCGATCGATTATCAAACTAAAGATACCGATGTTTAGACGTCTTGAAATCTCACTCCATCGATTAGGTCACTGAAAGGAAAGACGAACCCCCTTTAAAAGGGCTTATGTCTTAAAAGCGCCAGTTCAGTTTCAGTTCCAGTTCAGTTCAAACGAATCCATGCGAATACGTCCGCAGCATTATCCAATTCCATTCTCAAAGTCAAGTGTCGATTCTAAAGAGAGCAGTCTCTTCTATTGGTGGATTATATTAAATCCAGGTACGCCTACATTTTGTTTCCCTAATTAGGCTTATATACTTGTAATTTAATTAATTTTACACGATTTTATCGTTATTGTTTTATTCTATTCATAATAAATGCTTTATTAAGGAATTCAAACCGCTTATTATTTTCTTTTTCCACATTAGTGGTCCATTTTCTTATAATTCGTTTGGCCCATATCGAATTGGCCTACTCGGAATCCGAATCGTCAGTCGGTCATATAGTTCGACTGGCAGCTTCTCAACTTGCCAATCCTAAACCGGAACCCCAAGTAAAATTAGTCCAAATAGATTAGACGAGCTGGTCCCAGGACCATCTGACGGTATCCCGAATCTTAACTTCCCTTTCTTTTCCGTATCCCTGTAATCTCTTCAATCTTTTCCGCCTTTTTACCATCAAGAAGGACGGGACGTAACAGTGGTAATACTTTATGAAGTTTTCGAACTTCGATCGGATATTCCATGTCGACTTCGAACATGTAACAGATAATGGAGTCATCGGAAAGTTGATGAATATCCAATTGCTCGAAATTTTCCACCCACTCGAAGGAATCTAATGGCAAAACCTGACTCATAGCTGCACCATACAAATTCTTGATGTCATAGTACATAAGGTACGATTCCTCTTTACTCGAATCGAAATCATCTACCATGTACCTGTTATTCGCCTAGGAACGGTGTGCGAGTTCTTGCAGTTCAGATTGCAGCCCTGATGTGCACTATTGCGATATTTACCCGTAAAATGGCAATGATCCCGGTACTTCACATCCTGAGGCGTAACGGATCTTTCACAAATATGACAGATCTTTGCCGAGTAATATTTGTTTCTCTGCTTAAAATTTAGCGGTTCCATCAGTACGATGCGTTTCAGGTAACATTCCACGAACTGAGCTAATTCTTTTAATTCATTCATAAACCATTCCACGCAATCGTTGCCACGATAAACTTTAAATTTGGAATTAGAGTCATTGAGGTTACGTTTCAAATAATACGCGATGCTGTGTGGAACATGTTTCTGGTAAACCGATGTATTTGGTAAATTAGACGTATCCGTAACTGATTCTAACATGCACTCGATGTCGGCATATATAACGAATGGAACGGGTGCCTTGTGCGTATAATTTTAGAATTTAAAAATTGTATCGTTCTCAATTGGCAATTCCACTCTACATTTACTCGAAAGAGCTTTCTAATCTAAAGTGACACAGACATCTATCCCACAATTTGGTATAGTGACCACGTTTTGAAATTTGCGAATTTAGTAACCGACATAGATTACGAATCCATGCAAAATAATACACGTTGTCACCTACATCGCTTAAAAAAAATGGTTGTTTCCAACATAAGTAAATGAATCGTCTCTTTATCCAAATGTTGCTGACTTAGATCAATCGGTACGATCACACTACTATTTTTATCGCCTTCTATATCGTAAATGTTAATTTTCAAAACATTCATCTTTTCAAACTTTATCACGTCCTTCAAACCAATTGGAAAATTTAAACCTTCGTAATTTAACATTGAACTGAAATACAGGTACGAATCGATTCAGTTTACATGACACGTCGCTAAACGCAGAGCTGCATTTACCGACCAGAGGAAGCAAAAGGGATGACTATTCTTAATGTTCACAACTGCTTTCTTGCGTTGAATGTCTTCAGGTAATTCGATGAAGGTCGGCAAGTCACCGTGTACAGGTTTGTATGTGTTGATGGTCACCGTCAAGTTTATAATTTCCAACAGTGACCAACCCGATTCTCTTTCTAGGAAATCTTCGATCTTGGTCAGCAATTTGTTCGTTACGTTTACGTTAAACCACACGTCGATGTTCGTCAAAGGTAGAATAATTTCATTTCTAGTATTGAAAAATTTAATCTCTTCAACGATTTCGTCACCTTTCGTAGTCTCGAATTTACACGACAAGACGACGTTCACATTCACATTTCCATCCTTTCGAAGCACGTTATTCACCTTGGTAGTGAACAATTCTCTTGAATCTTCTAAGAAATGCTTCAAGTCCATGCATCAGTCTGGATGGAGGAGAGTAGTGTGAAGCCAGGATATGTGAGTGTGGGGGGTGTAGTTAGAGCTTCTTTGATGGTTTCGAATGCGGTCTGTTTTGCCTGGCCCCAGGTCCATGGTTGTTCGTTTCCAGTTTTGCTGAAAAGTTAGGGATGAATCTTCTGTACCTTGGTACCATCCCGATGAGTCTGCGTATGTATTTGATGTTCTTGGGTATCGGGTAGTTTCGTATTGGTTCTGTTTTTTGTGGGTCTGTTTGGAGTCCATCTTTGTTTATTATGTGTCCCAGGTATGTGACTTCTTTACATCCGAACTCGCATTTATCGGGGTTCATGGTGAGTCCCGCTTGTGTAATTTTGGTCAGAATACGTTTGACCCATTCTACGTGATTTTTAAATGTGTCTGTGGTAAAATAATGTCTAACTATGCGATTGCATGCGGTTCCATGTCTGGTCCAATCAGTCGGTCGAGTAGTCGTTGACATGTCGCCGGGCCGTTTGTCACTTCATACGGCATTCGTTTAAAGTGGAAGGGTCCTTTCCCTGGAGCTGTGAATACTGTCGTTTCTCTATTGCCTGGGTGTAAGGGTATTTGGAAGTACGCTTATAAGAGATCAATTTTCGAGATGAATTTGGCTGCGTTCAATCTGTCCAAAATGTCTGACATGTGTGGTAGTGGGTATGCGTCTTCTTTTGTAGCTGCGTTTACTTTTCTGAAGTTGATGCAGAATCTGTATGTATTGTTAGGTTTTTTTATCATAACGATGGGGCTGGACCATTCGCTGTGTGAGGGTTCTCTTATATCGTCTTTTAACATCTTTTCCACCTCTGTGTGTATTGCTTGTTTAATGTGTTCCGATGTTCTGCATGCTTGCTGTTTTATCGGTTTGTTCTTTTGTGTGTCGATGTGGTCCTGTACTAGGTGTGTTTGTCCTAGTTTTTGGGTGTGAGGAATAATGTTTAGAACGATTGCTTGTATTCTTGCTTGTTGTGTTTTCGACAGTTCTGTTATTGCATTACATTCCGTCTGACTATTGTTGTTTGTGTGTGTGTTGTGTTTTATTTGTGTTGGTTTGTATTCGTTCGAGTGTAATGGTGTACTGTGTGTCAGTGGTGTGGTTGTGTTTTGTTGTGCTAGTGTGGTTTGTGTGGGGTGCGAGAGTGTGCGCGTTTGTGTTTTGGTGTTCGTATTTAGGAAAGTGTTGGGGGGAATGTTAGTGGTTGGTAGTAGCGCTGGGCGATTGCGTGCAGGTGTGCTTAGTTTTTCGTGTGCTTCGTCGGTGTTTTGGTGTATCATGTTGCTTTGAGTCACTTTCGCCTGAACTTCCGTCTGCGTGTTTGTTGTCGTCCATTGTTGTGTTGTTGGTTTTGTTCTGGGTTTATCTACGGGTTGTGTTGTTAGTTTTGTTCTGGGTTTATCTACAGGTGTTTTGGTTTCTATTTGTAAGTGTTTCTTAGGTTTTAAA